ATTAAAAAGTTCAGTCGATTTGACTTTGAAAAATTCATAAGGGCTCCCTCTGCGAACGTATTGGCTACAAAAATATCTCAAAATAGAAAAAGTCATCTACTTTCTATACACATCTTCGATGTTCTTTGATGACAAAAGACTTCAGAGATAAAATAAAATAAGAGAACCACTTAAACTCGTGATTTTCGAAAACATAGTCAAAAATCTGAAACGCTGCAAAAAAATCTGAGAGCGTGGTTTTTGAAGATTTTGCGAGCTGTGCGCTCTAGTGGTGCCAAGTTTGTGCTAATCGAGCTTTTCAAAGTTATGATTTTTGTGAGAATTCCAAAAACGGCAAAAACATTTTTCGCATTTTTCAGCATTTCTCAAAAATCATAACTTTTCATAGAAAAGCACGGTTAGCACAAACTTGGCACCTTTAGAAAAAAATCTCACAAAATTTTTAGAAACTTCTCAGATGTTTTGCAGCTTTTCAGATTCTTGACAATTTATTTCCGAAAATCGGGAGTTTAAATTGGAGTCCTGTTCTACGAATTTTCCAACAAAGCGACAAAATTTTGAGTCAACCTACTATTTTGCCTGAATAATCATTCAGAATGTTTTCAGTCAGAAAAAGACGAATTTTCATCCTATAGCGAACGAGTTCGAATAAATGTTGGTGGAACCATTTTTGAAACATCTCTTTGTACCCTAACAAGAGTGAATGATACTGTAAGTCTGTGACACATTGTTGCAATTTTTTAAATTATAATTTTACATTTTCAAGCTGCTTTCTGCTATGGTTGGTCGTTGGAGAAATTCGGGAGAATTGTTCATTGATAGGGATCCAACGTATTTCGCAAAGGTATTTTTTCATATCTTGTTTTCTTTGCCTCCTACATTGTAATTTTTTTAGATATTGAATTATCTAAGAGATAGCGAAAGTTTTTATCCACCTGAAGACGATGAAGCTCGAGAATGTTTACGAAGGGAAGCTAAGGTCATTTTCTTGGAACTTCCTTCCCAAAAAAACTAAATCCTGGTAAATTCGCTTTTGAAATTTAGTTCTACAATATACCTGGTCTTGTCACGATGTGCTTACCCGATGTAATCGGCTATGGCGATTCGGTGCAATGGAAAATAAGCGCTATTGATACGTACTGGAAGTCTTTTGTGAGGTGAAATTTATTTATCTTCATTTACAAACTGCATGTAGCAAGCCTTTCTGTGAATCATGTACAGTTTGT